ATAAGATAATAAAGAATCATTGAAACTCTCCAGATTCTAGAGAGTTTCACTAAGTATATGTGATTGATCAATAAAATGTATAAGGACTCCAGGGTAAAAAGGAATTCTACTTGAAACAATCAATTACATCTGTAGTCCTTTAATACTCTGTAAACTTTAGATTATTTTCATTTTTTTCATTCCCCATAGATCTTTGAAACTAGGAGAAAAAAAGTATGATGAAACAATTTTATAAGAGAGATCTCTAAGATACTGCATAGTAGCACTTCCTGAAATTTGCATTCACATGGCATTGCTACAATTGTCCTAGGACAGACAAGGAAACCAGGACTCAAGATGTATGAGATGACCCAATGGAAGTTTTTCAAATTTTTAAATGGAGTTTACTTTGGTAACTTCCAGAGTGTGTGCCATATTGAAGCTGACTGTATGTAATCTTGGTCTTGGGTTATTTTCCCCCTATAAATGGAAGAATTAAGTATAAGGTATGTGTTATTCTTTACAAGAGACTTCTTCCTGGTTGGAGTCATCCAGTAAGCAGAAGCCATAAGCAAGAGAAAACACTACATATTAAGAATCTTGACTCCAGGTGCTGGGAAAAAGGGACAAGTTAACAGTCTTCAAGATGGATAAAATGATGCCACCAACCTGCACTTTTTAGATTCCCAGGGATATTTTTTAATGGGCTTTTCATACATAAAGGAATTCTTGCCTCATCCTTATAGTATTATTAGGAACCTGACTCTCTTAGCCCAGTATTTGCTGGGCCTGAGGTGACACCCAACTGCTTACCTACATGCATACTAACATCAGAAACAAGAATCAGTTCTTCACCAGGCTGTAAGAAGATATACAATTGTACATATAGATGGGATGGGGCAGAAATTAGCTTAGCAGCTGAATCAACGCATGGTGTTTGTATAAGATACTAAAAACCGTTCAAAGAGATACAACTGCAAATAAATTTGGAGGCCAAATTTAAATGGGATTCACAATGGAGTGGCCAAGATGCTGGAGAAAAAGTAAAATCCTAATCTGGAATAAAGTCAAATTGAAGACTATAAAAGAAATAAAATGTCACACAGAGAAACAGGAGTAATAGGGCCCCAGGAGATAAGATAAAAATTTACTGAGCAATTTTATTGTTGTATTAATTGACTGTCAATGGCCTAGCAGCACATCAGCAACAGGGGTTTTGTAAAGGCAAACTGTAGGTTCTGACAGCAGTTTATATCACAACAAACCTCCTTCAAACCTGTGTGTTATAATACTTCAGCAATATCCTAAATCTCATGAGGTCTACCATTCTCCTTTGAACCGTACTAACCAAATTTTACCTTTGCACATGTAGTTTATCCACACCACACAGTCTAGTCAAGTAATCAGAGAGGCTAAAAGATCCTTCAGCAAAAATTTCCAAAATGGGCACGTAGGGACTTGGAGAAAAAGTATTTAAAGCAAAGGACTTGTTTGTACTCCTTGTTTAGAAAAACTAGGCAAGCATTTATTAATTTATTCAAGGATGTTTATTTAACCACTCACTATAAGCCAAGCATTGGAGATGCAAAGCTGAAGAAGATAGGATCTGGGCCTCAAGGGACTTACAGTGTGTGGGGGGTGGAGACAGGCATGTAAATTAGTAAGGATAATAAAATGTTACAGGTTCTATCACAGAAGTATGTCGATAGTAAAATAGTGACATAAAAAGAGAGAGTGATCAATTCTACAGGAGTAGGGGAATCGTAAAGTCTTTAGCGAAAAGGTGACCCTTTAAAAAATAAATTCAGCAAATCAGGATATTAATATCTATTACATAAAACAAAATCACATACATATAATTTGTTCTTCATTACAAAAGAGTGACATCTATTAAGGGATGGATAGGCTATAAATAAATTTGTGAAACTTCTCTTTTCAGGAATGTTCTACTAGCATCTCTGATAATTTAATATAATTTAGTTGTCATGCCAGCAATCAATAGAAAAATATATAACCTGCAATTGTTTCAGTTCATGAGTCAAATTAAGACAAAAGTTTTTTTCTGATATATTGTATTTGAAGGCCTTATTCATGACTTGGGTGTATATATATATATATATATATATATATATATATATATGTGTGTGTGTGTGTGTGTGTGTGTGTGTGTGTGTGTATATATATAAATATGTCTGAACATTATTGGACATATAGATTTTTGTAGTTATCTGTTACTCTGAGAGGTTCTTCTTCCTGGACACTCACAGCCACCCACGTTTAAATCTTTTATAGGGTAGTCATTTTGAACAGAGTTACTTAGTAGCTTATGAACTGAAAAGGCAGAGCTGCAGTTATTAGAAGTGAAATTTCAGCTAGTGGTGTCCAATTAGGGTTGCAATCTTCAGATGTGTACAACACAAATACATGTGGAACACACAATGGTCTCTTCAGCCACTCATTCCTGCAGAGAGCAAAATTTTAAGAGCACCGTCTTGCAAAAGAAATCCACTTACAAACAAATTGGCTAAAGTCCACTTACAGATTAATTCATTTCTGGTCACGGGTCACTGTGATCAACAATGCTAAAAATTAATCTTTGTTAGGAAATCACTATGCACGTGAGCCTCCTGATCCCCCAATTTAGGAACATGAAGTACCTAGTTACCAGGTTAACACATCTCAAACCTCTGAGGGAAGTCTTTGAACTTCTCTACTAGAGAAAGATTTCTATTTCAAATTTTCCACAGTAATCTTTACATACTTCACATAGCCCCTCAGAAATCCCTGAGTGCCTTTAGGGGATCATTCCAACCTCTAGATAATGCTCAAGTTTCTCCTCTTACCAGTATAATCCCCACTGCATTCCCACCCTACTCATCTCTCAGGGAATTGTGTCAAAAAAGAATCCAGTCTTCATAAGGAGACACTTGCTTTGAAAGGATTATTGCAGTAGGCATAGGTGGACTACTGCAATAGGGAGAACACTTTGACCATGAGATTTACAAGAGTAATGTCAAGAGATAGGAAAAAAGATGTTTTTCTTTTATAGGAAAGTATAAACAAGTCTAGAAAGAATCTGATGTGGGAAAGTGGGATAAAAGGGTGGCATGATTGGAGAGCAGATCAGAGAACGTTTTACGCTGAAGCCAGCCTGTTCTCGGAAGGGCATATTAAGGATATGCTGTATGATAGCTAAACTTCAGGGACCTGCAGGAAGGAGAGAAGCTAAATCACAGTTTGGTTAACAAACATGTTGTTCCAGCTGATCAGCAGGGGCAAGTAGTTCAGCTAATCATTTGTGAGGTAAAGAATGGGAATTTGGAGAGATGTGTCTGAATTTGCCATAGGTAAACAAGTGCGGAATGCCTCTGTCTTATCTAAGTCACATGAAGAAGAGTCTTTGTTTTTTTGTTTGTTTGTTTGTTTTTTTTACTAAGCTGTTTCCAAAACACAAAAGGGTGAGGAGATTTTTAACGTTCGCTGTTTTTCAAGATCACAGGACTCAGGTAAAGTTCAGTGCTCTCCGCTGGCATGAGTCAAAGACAAATTGACATTAGATGACACTAAGGAAATAAAGCTTTCAGTATGATGTTGAGTAAAACATTCAACCTATCAAGTGGCTTGTATGATGTGCGTTTCTTAGATATGCCTAATCTAGGTCATGGAATGTTAAGGATTCAAGATAGATCAGAATTCCATATGCAGATCTGGGGCTAAATCATAAAAGTGTATATTTTCCAGTCTTTCTGTACTTCTCCCTTGTAGCACAGAAGACAGGGAAGATCTTCTGTGACCTCTCCCTGGGTAATTTATGGGGATATCTAAGTCTTTATCCATTAGATGCTTTAGGTTCTCAGTCATCTCTTTTTACTTTGGAGATACATCTGACATGAATCAAGCAGAAAAGAAAGAATTTAATGGTGTTAGGATTATGGTGTTAAGAATCAAAATGTCCTAAATTACCAGACTAAAGCATTCCATTAAAAGAAAAATCAAATTGTTTTCCTATATGAATATTACTGAAAAATGTAAATAGCTTGCTGCAGCTGGAATATCTGCCTCTGGATCAGGAAAAGGAGCACAAAGATCTATGTCTTTCCCTTGTTTTTTCCTCAAAGTCCAGGAGAGCAGACAGGTGAACAGAAAGATACTGCAGATTGCCCCTAGGCTAGGCTTCCAACACAGATATACCTGTAGAGGAAAATATCCCTTCTAAAAACAATATATAGTAAAAATAATGTTAATTTACACACCATGGTTCAATAAGAGATATTCAAAAGTATTTTACTCCCTTGCCTCACCCAAAATAAATTCTATTATTTGCAGAATTCAGAATTAATAGGTTAATGAAAGAGAATACAATAAGGCAACACAGGTTTTAAGGACATGAATGAAATTCACTTAAGAACTGTCTCCAATTATAATAGCTTGGGAATTAAGCTATTACCATACTGTCTGAAACATAAGAAATACAATATTTGTTGTGCCCATTACCAAAATCTGTGTGGAAATCAAGTTCAAGCCCCATAATAGCTAAATTCAACTTTCTATAAGGAAAATAACACAAAAAATGAACACAGAAATGATAGAAATAAAACTTCTAAGCTGGAAACTGACTTTACTACTGCTAAATCATATGAATAATTTCTAATTGATTTGTATTTGGCAGAAATCTTATATATCAGAATCATGTTCATCTATTTATCACAATATTCTATATGTCACATGGAAACTAATACATTGCTTTGTTAATATTTATAGTTTTCTTTCTAGTATGGCTCAGAGATATTTAACATTCTAAAACATAAGCATTTATAATTACATGGTTTACATTTTGTATTCTAATTTTTAATACTGCCAAGACTATTTAGCATAACTAACTTTTTAACTATGTACTCTTTTCTCTCTTTACCATTAGCATATCAATCAAATTTGCATTATTCTGCTTTGCTCATTTTATTAAAAGCGAACTCAGGGCACAATTGACTTTTCATTTGTTTAACAAGTGAAGAAATATTTACCCTGACAGCCATTGCATTGTAGAAATTCATCTTCATAGTATAATATGCTACCTGTGAATCAAGAAAAAAAAAAGATGGCATACATTTCAGTTATACAAAGACAGTGCGGCCTATTTTTACATATAAAAGATAAGGATCTTTATACATAATACATAATAAGAGTTCTAGGCTTAGAAAAATGAAATCAAACTTTGTATTGAAGAGCTAGGCTTCCTAATACATAATGCAAGCTTAACCTGAAAAATCTATGGTAGTCAAACTTGGAGCTAATGGAGATATATGATCATAAAATGCTCTCCGCTGAGTTTGATAATCAATGGTGCTCTACTGAGAATAGAATAACAAAGCAGAAATATTCACAAGTGCTGGTGACACGTAGTATTGTATGATTTATTCACTAGGGTTCTTTTAGCCAAAACTCACAGAAACATAAAAGGAATTCATATTTCAAGACGTCTAGTTTAATGAAAAATTCAAAGAAATGCTTTCTTCAGTTGAAATCGTTCAAGGATATGGATGCAGTGATGGAGTAAAATTGTGTCTTCCAACCATCTATGCAAAATGTTATGTACTTAGCTGCCTCCTGAGTAATCCTTGGGAATTCTGTTTCATTTAATATTCATTTTAACACCATAAAATCATAAATACAATGATATCATGTTACAGCAAATCTCTTGCTACAGTGAAGGCTTCCTAATGTCTTGGTTTCTTTCTAGTAAAGACACATTCATCTATTAATATACAAATCTCTGGTACAGTAAATAATCATTTAGCAACATAGCTTATTTCAATGAAAATATTGCTTTAAATAATGCTTCCACATCTGTTCTTTTAATTAAAGATATAAAATTAACATAATT